AACACCGCCATAACTTTTGTGTTTTCTGCATGTGGACAGTCGTGGAGTGTTTCAAGTCTGTCCCTCCCCACCAATAGATGGAGCTTTTTTTTTTTTTCAAAAAAAAAAGAAGAAAAAAACAGAAAGGTTGCGTGGCCGCGGTGTCGTATCATCATGGAATTCAAGCGTGTGCATCTGCCATCACCAGGAAATTCTTGAGAAATGGTGAAATATGGATGAAAGTTCATGAAACCTTTTTTTTTTTTTCCTTTTTTTTTTTTTTTTTTTTTTTTTTGCCGGGCTTCTCAATCTACTGCTGGAAAGCGGTTCCAGCGTCCCTTAGATACATCGTCTTTTTTTTGTCCAGGCGAGGCCAAAATTGGAGCAACGTAGCAATTGTCTACCTGCCAGCATTGATTAATCCTGCCATGGTCTTTTTTTTTTTTTTTTTTGACAAATGCTCCAATCTATTCGTGGGGAGCAGCACGTGCTAGAAACCGGGTCCAGCGTCCCATAAGGACATTTACAGCTTCAACAAGGATCTTTTTTCAGAAAGTTGAGACGACCAGGGGCAAGGTCCCACTTGCACGGATTAGGAGATTTCGGCTGTCTATCTCGGCTATCTACGGTCCCTATCTCTTAATTCGTGCAAGTGGGACCTAGCCCCAGGGGAATGGATGAAACTCAAGAGAGCTCTTTCGGATATTCCTATTACCAGCAAAAGCCTACAGAAGTAAGGATAGAAAAAGGAAAAGGAAAAAAAGAGAGTATATGTGTGATGTAAAGAAAAAGTAGTAGCACATCCGTCCTGGCTCCACTACTCACCAAAAGTGCAAAACTGAGAGTCGGACCCCACAGGAAAAACGATGGAAAAGACGTCTGGCCATCGAACGATTTTGGAAGGTTGGAAACTGTTTTGCTGGGACCCCATAGCGGACTGCGTTTTGTGGCAAAGTGCGGAAGTGATATTCCGTAATTGGAAAGGTGCCCGTTCAGCATCCCGAAAAGGAAAGTGGCCGAATGTCCGGAAGGCGTGGGTGGACCCAAGGAATGACTGTGCCGCCTCATGTGGGTGATGCAGGGCGGTGTGTGCGAGAGGCAGTGCGACCTCCCGGTGGTGAGAGGGCCGAAGGGGACCCACCGTCCCCGTGGCGCTGGACCGTTCCACAGACGGTACCGTCAATGAGACCGTTGCCGCAGGCCTCCCCATTCTGGAGGTGCTCGTTATGTATGCGAGCCGCTGCGTTTCTGCGTGAGTGAAAGCTCTCCCCACCATAACCACTGTCGTCTGCCTCGTCCATCGCTCTTTCGTCCCATCCCCATCACCGCAACTGAGCGGACGTGTCCGTACGTCCATGCATGTGGCGTGTGCAAGCCTCGTTGCATGGTGAGTGTGGTGCGACGTCAGAGCCGATGGATGATTGGGACAATACCATGTTCCTGATGTTTTTCGTCCTTCTGCAGTGCATGAACAGAAGGAACGTGGCGGGGATGGCTGTCCTGGAGGCAGCGGCTGCGATGCCGACTTGTCTGTCAGGGTTGTCTTCCACCCTGTTGCATCTCACGGGTGCGGTGATGCATAGCATGTCACTGGCTGACGTGCTGGGCAGCGTTTTCATCAGTCGTGTGGATGATCGAAGACGTGTGTGGGTGTTGGAACGCACTGGGGGTGTGTGGAAGGACCTCCAAAGAGAGGGAGGCAAGCACAAGAAGGTCTTCCAGCGGTTCTGCAGACTTCCCCGGCCGCTGTTTAATGAGATTCTGGCTCACATAGCGCCACATATCCAGCGTCAGACGATGAACTGGAGACAGCCAGTGCCGGCGGTGCAGAAGTTTGCATGCGCTCTCATCAGGCGGGCGACGGGAGGTTACTATAGGCAGTCAGTGCATGGTTTGGGGCTTGGTTTGGCGAGCGTGCTGCGGAGCAACATCGATGTCGCCGATGTGCTGATCAGGGAGCATGGGCATCTGCTCCAATTCCCAACCGGGCAGAAGCTGCAAGATACGCTGGACGTTGTCGAACGCAAAGGTTTCCCAGGGTGCGTGGGAGCCATAGACTACACCCATGTGTACATCGAGAAGCCTGCAGGTCAGAGAGGGGAGTGTTTCTATGATCGCACTGGCCAATTCTCTGTCGTGGTGCAGGTAGTCTGCGACCACGAGTGTCGAATTCAGAGTGTTTTCGTGGGTTGCCCGGGGTCTGTTCATGATAGTCGGGTGCTGCGAGTGTCTCCTTTGCATCGCGAGGCGCAACGCGGTGGTGGGGTGGTCGGCACAGGTGGGGAGGTGCTGCGTGGTGGCCGTACGATTGGCAGGTACTTGCTCGACGACGCTGGCTACCCGCAGCTGCCGTGGATTATGACTCCGGTTGGGGGCAACAGCAGGAATGAGGCTGAACAGGTGTACGATGATTGTCACACCTCCGCCTGGTCGAGCATCGAACGCACTTTCAGAAGATTGACGTTCGTGTGGAGGAACTTCATCAGGACACAGATTGCGAATATGAAAACCCTTCGCAAAGAGTTCATGGCCATTTGCATACTTCACAACCTGATGGTGGAACACAGGGTGCAGGTGGATCCTTAACTGCTATCCGACGACAGTGATAGTGATGGTTGTGATGTGCAAAGCCGACGTCGGCAAGGGCGTCCTCGTCCGCAAACGCGGCATGCACCTTGTCCGCCCCCTCAGGTGGAAGACGCAGCATGTGCTATTGAGTTGGGGAACGAATTGAGGGACTGTCTCATCATGCATGTCTGGCATCACAGCCGGGTTCACCGGGCTCCTCCGCCAAACCCTTGGCAGCGTTGATGCAGGCGGGAGGGGGGGGGGTGGCAGCACAAATTTTCAGCAGAAGTAATCATTATTTTTGGCGAATTTGTCTTTCTCGCTAGACACCGACTCGGCGGATGCTTCTCTCTCTCTCTCTCTCTCTCTCTCTCTCTCTCTCTCTCTCTCTCTCTCTCTCTCTCTCTCTC